TAGCATTATCTACATAGTGCTGTATTTTTATGTATTTTGTTAAACATTTCCCAATTATATTTTAATGTGGTTCTGGTCCACTTGGGGGTTTTTCAGGCTTCAAGGTTGATACCTTGGCTTTAGATTATCCCCTCTCACAAAGTCTGTGGCTTAGCCAAACTGGCCTACTTGTTCTTTGCACACTTTCAACCCCTCATCCTTGCACTATATTTCAGTGAGTATTCCAGCCTTTGCAGCAGATGCTTGGAAACCATTCTCTCCTCCTGTCCAGCTCTAACAGTCCCTAACTTCCTGCAAAGCTCAGCTCAAGCACCCCTTCCTATAGCCTGTATACCTTTCCTTTCCTCCTCCTCCAATTCTCTGGTGCCTCCCTACCAATCTCTCCAAATTACTTTGTATCATATTATACATAGCTGTACCTACTGCTATACATAGGGGCAGCATGGGTGGTGCAACGGATAGAGTGCCTAGACTGAATTCATGAAGACTGTTTTCATGAATTTAAATCTAATTAGTTGTGTGACCCTGCACAAGTCATTTAACCATCTTTGCCTCAGTTCATTATCTGTAAAATGAGCTGGAGAAGGAAATAGCAAACCACTCCAGGATCTTTGCCAGGAAAACCCCAAATGGGGTCATGAAGAGTTAGACACAACTGAATAACTGCTATATATGCTGTTTCTCCTAATAGAATATAAGCTTTGTGAGGGTAAGAACTGTTTCATTTTTTTCTTTGTATTTCTAGTACCTAACACAGTGCTGAGCATATAGTAGGCACTTAATAAATGTTTCCTGGTTAACTGCTCCTGGTTCTGCTCTCTGGGGTCAAACAGAAAATAATATACCTCACCCAGAATGTCAGGCCCAGAAGAAGCCATACAGAAAAGAGCAGGCAGGGCACTCAGAAAAAGGAATATCAGAGTAGGAAAGTGGTAAGAATATGGAATTTCAGGACAAGCTTTGACCCCAAAAATGGTAGAGGGTCAGAGTTGGGAGGACTCTTAGAACACGGGTGATCAGAGCACAGATGATTCTGGGAACACACAGTATCGCTGCTGAGAATGAGTTTTATTTCTGTGTTCAGAGTTGTACCTAGATGCAACATATAGGTACAGGTAAACATACACACAACAATAAAAAAGTTTATTTAGGGGATAAGAGGCAACCTATATTACGCTATAATTGACATCAGCATAACAGTGATCCTCTGAATTAAAATTCGTGTTCAGCATCCCTCAGTCAAAGCTGAACAGTCAGTTTACCCAATCTGGTTCCAAGGCAGAGACAGAGGGGGAAAAAGAGGGGGAGACAGAGAGAGAGAGAGAGAGAGAGAGAGAGAGAGAGAGAGAGAGAGAGAGAGAGAGAGAAAAGGAGAGGAGGAGAAAGAATAACTGAAAACACAATAATTGCATACAGTGTTTTGAAGAGTTAAAGCTGTAGTAGATATCACTATTATTGTTAATGAAGTCGTTATCATAATCAAATAAAGAAATGAAGTACACAGAATTTTAAAAAAAGAAAATATTATACCTTAATCTCTCTTCCCTGTGACTATCTTACAAATACTTGAAGAAAGCTATTAAGAGCCCCACAATCTTCTCTTCTCCATGCTAAAAACCCTCAGTTCCTTTAACTAATCTTCATATGGCACAGACACAAGGCATTCGCCATTTTGCTTCCTTCTAGATGGTCTCCAACTTGTCAATGTCCTTCCTGTAATGTGGCACCTGGGACCAAACACAGCATTCCACATGAAGTATGACCAGGACAAAGTACAAAGGGACTCTTGCCTCTTTAATCCTGAAACTCTAGTTACTACACTCCTCCCTCAAAATGACTTTTTAATCTCCTAGAATCTCCAGATTGCTTCAGACAAATCTATGTCTAAGCATTCCCTTCCTTACCTTGTGTTTCTGAAGCAGATTTTTAGAATCCAAGATTAAAACTTTACCTATATCCTAATTGAATCTCAACTGATTGGATTCAGTTCAATGTTCTAGCTCGTCAAGATAGATCTTGACTGTCGTCCAGTGTATTAGCTAACCTCGGCTTTGCATCATCTACAAACCAACAGCACAAGGCCAAGCATAGATCCCTGCGGCACACACTGGAGACCTTCCAAGATGACATAGAGTCATTATTGACTCCTTCAGTCATTCATCCAATTCCGAATCTATCTAATTGCACTAGAGTTTAGCTCATATCTCCCCATCTTTTCAGCAAGAAAAGCATGGGATGCCCCATCTCTTCAATAAGTGATTCTAGAATTTCTCAAAAACCCAAGTTAAGCTCAGAGGCCTAAAGTTTGCAAATGCTATTCTCTTCCTTTTTTGGAAAACTGGTACATCTGTTATTTTCTTCTTCTCTGATGCCACTCTCATTCTCCATCTTTGTGACACAGTAGTCACATTATCAAGTTATTTTACTATCCTTTTTAACATATAGTTCATGTGGGTCAAGAAATATTAATTCATCAAGGGTACACAGGTGCCCTCATACTCTTTCCTTGGGTGTATCGATAACATGTAATCCAGTGTATTTTATATATGGAGAAATCGATGCCCAGAATGAGAAAATGACTTGTTTCATAGCTAATCATTGGTAAACCTGAGAGTATAACCCAGATTTTCTAACTCCTAGTCCTGTGTTATTTCCACTATAATTTTCTATCTCTCTAATTTACATATATTACCTGGATGTATCCAACCCTCTTTCTAAAAAGAACACAAAGCGATAGGTTAATTTTTCAGATTAACCAGTTAACACTTCAGAATGGGTGGAGGAGAGGTAGGGATGGAGGTCAAACAGTGTGAAGGAGAGAGCAGGCTAAGGGCACTGGTGTCCTATGGTGAGTAACCAAGATGATAAAGACATTGGAAATGAAGTCAAGTGACATGGAAGGAGAAAGACACTACCCAAAATGAAAATTTGCTGACTCCACAAAGTTGCTGGGGACCAGTATAGTTCAGGACAGAGAAGATTCTGATAGCTCCATATATTGCTTATACCACTGCCCAATGTGAGTAAAGCACAAGGAGCAGAAGAGCTCCGTATCACTCAGTGAAAGATGTGAACATCTTGAGTATAAGCATGAGGGCAATGAGGAATGGAGAGATAGAGCATGGGGGTGGCTAGAAGAAAAAGAAGAGAATTGGGAATGGGGGAGAAAAGGGTAATAGGTAAGGGGCAAGGAAGAGACATGGAGGAAGACAAGAGAGGGAAGAAGAAGAGCAGTTGTAGTGAGGAGGAGAATGGGAGATAGAGAAGAGGCATGGACATGGAAGAATGAAAAAATATAAAGAAGTAGATTCAAAGAAAGCCCAACATGTTGGCCAGCTTGTAAGAGCCTCTGTTTTGAAGACTTGGCTAGAGCTATGTAAGCAGGCAAAGCGTATCAGAGAATTTCCCTGCCAGCTACCACCATCCAGGAGTGGCTATTTTCGAAATATATTGTGGGAGAAATTTACATTGGGGGCGGCAAGATATGTTGCTCTTTCTTTGGAAAGAAAAATTGTGTCAGGGTGAAAATGATGATTGAGTTAGCTAAGAATAATTAACATAGGTGGTACACTGAGAAAAGAGAATGTGCTTTCCTTGACAGCTCTTTGTGACAGGATTAAGCAAGGGGGAGGGGGAGGGATGGATAGACTCTCCCCAGTCAAAGTGAAGATGCTACTGGCCATATTCTCCTGTCACAAGGAATATTATCAAATGCCGTTTCTTGGTGAGCACGGCTGCTCAGATTCAGGCCTCAGTCTCTTGGAATTTACCATGCTGTCTTATGTGGTACTTTCTGGCCCCCTATCCTGGAACTGACCAATTTAAATATCATATACATGTAACAGAAAATGGGCTGTTTATGACTTCTGGTCACTTTATGGCATGATATAGATGAAAAAAAAACCCACTGGATTTGGAGCCAAGAGGCCTGGGGTTGGCATCCTAGCTCTGCTGTACTACAGAAAGCAAACCACTTACCTTAGCCTCAGTTTCTTCATCAGTCCAGTGGGGAAAATACTACTTTATGTTATCAACCTCTCATAGCTATTGTGAAAGAAAGATGAAATAATTTGTGTAAAATGCCTTGTGACTATAAAGTTCTATATAGATGTAAGAGAAGACTTGCTAGTTATCCTTTGTGTGTGAGGCTGCTTTAAGAAAACGAGCTGGATTCTACAGATTTCTCTTTTTTATGCTAATAAGAGAATATGTATGTGAAAGAACTTTGAAAACTATATTGATACACATGAGTTGTCATTATTATTATTTATGGGTTGCATGGAGAATATCATTGGGAAGTAAATAGGTAAAGTACATATTTACACAGTTATAATGTGCCAAACACTATGCTAAGTGCTGGGGATACAAACACAAGCAAAAAAAAAAATGTCCCTATTCTTAAGGTACTTACCTACTAAGAAGGGAGGGCAATACATAGAGGGGAGTTGGAAAGGGGGTTGGGGAAATAGCACTGCTGGAGAGGAGATGAAGTCTGGAGAGTGAGGAGTGGAGCTGAGAATGGAGTAAGCATGGCCTTGGCACGGAATGAAATGGAGGTCCAGGCTGGGGAATTATCAGTCAGAAGAGAGTGCTGCAGGGCGCATATGGATGTAACACATCCTACCTGGCCCTTACTACCTAAGGGCAGGTAAGGTAGAGCTTACCCTTCCCTTAAGGTTCTCTAGTTTCTTTAAGGATATTGGGGGGGGAGGTTGGGTCTAGGCTCTCTGCAAATGATTCCAACCCTCACTGATGTGCCCCCCCAAGTATAGGGGGATCCTTTGCACCCCAGCTCCATTAGCCACTAATAGTCAGATTACTTTTTACACAGAAATATTTACTTTAGAAGATATAATCACAAGTATATAAATTTACTCCTCCAATACAAGGAAGGCATCATTTCCCTTCTCCCCCTCCTGCTACCCTCTAAGGAGATGAAGGAGATTAAGTCCATAGCTTAGCTCCGTTCCCGTAGAGCACACTGTCAGTTCCAAGCCCACCTCAGGTTTGAGTAGCAGGTATCCTGGGTTCTCAGGGCTTCCACGCCAGCCTGGCTTGCTGCACCAATTCTGCCTGCAGTCTTAGGTCCAAGGTCATCACAGTTCAAATTTCTAATCCCTTCTGAATCATCTCCAGGACCTGAAACTGAAGAAGACAAACAACATTGAATAGAAACAAACACCCCTAAGGCCATTTCTCAGGGCCAGCATAAAAGAGAGGGAGTAAGGGGAAGCAAATTCTTCTCATCTCAATGGTTCAGTTCATTGTGCCCATGTTGTATGTGCACTGGGATCACCCTTTGGATGCAGCAGATAAAAGTTGCAGAAAAGAGAGCATGGCAGAAAAAGAACAGTGAAGAGAAAAAGAGAGAGACAGAGACAGACAGACAGATGCATAGAGGGACACAGAGAGAGAGAGAGAGAGAGAGAGAGAGAGAGAGAGAGAGAGAGAGAGAGAGAGAGAGAGAGATATGGAGAGAGAGCACAGAAGAAACAAACAAACAAACAAAAACCCCAAACCTAACCAACCAACTGACTGATCAACCAATCAAAAACCAATTGGCTCAGTCTCACCAGTTTTAAAGATGCAAGTAGCCAAAGGAGGCAGGGATGAAGGCTTCCATGTTGCCCAAATTGGGTATGGCCAGCCCAGCCCAGGTTACATACATAAATTTGGAGAGATTCTGTTTTTTTTTCACTGGACTAGGTTCAAGGAAGTAAAAGTAGAACTGGAAATGGCTCAAAGAATCTGACTGAGAAGAGTCATAATTAAATATCTCATCCACATGGCCTTATTTATGTTCCATGGTGCTTCATGTAGTTTGTGCTTCAAGTGGAGTGGTAGGTAAGTAGGTTTTAATGCTTTAGTAGTGAAATTTAATAATTTAGGTAGGATCTACTGATCTTGATATAAGCTAGGTGAGGGAATGGGGAGCAGATATGGATAGAATGAAATGAAATAGAAAGCATTTATTAAACACCTACAATGTACAGTGCTGTGCAGGTTGCTGGTTATAAAAAGACAAAATTAAGATAATCTCTGCCTTCAAATAGATTACTTTCTAATAGGGGAACAACACATAAAGAAGAGTGATAGACAGGGCAGGGAATTTTTGTCTCCAGATAGGTCACAGGAATGACAAATAGTCAGGGTAGATAGATGATAGAATCAATGATAGTGTTGACTTGATTATTGTTTCTATAACAAGAAGTAGAAAGAGAATAGAATCATGGTGTCAGAGAGGATTTCAAAATGTCCAGGATGGACAGGCGGACAGTTCAGGGCCATCTATTTGCTCATCTGTAATACAGGGATAATAATATTTATAGTCCCTCCCCCAACAGGGCTATTACAAGCATAAGATAATGTATTCCAGTGCTTTATAAACCAAAAAGAAGTATATATGTGTCAACTACTATTATTACTTTCAAAGAGGTGGCATGGATTAGTGACTAGAGGCCTGCCTTGAATTCAGAAAGATGTGGGTTCAAGTCTTGCTTCTGATAAATCTAGCTCTGTGAATATGGATAAGTTGTGTAACTGGTCAGTGCCTACAGGAAACTCAGATTACAGCTTGTAGGAACTCAAGATGCAGACCACAGATTATAGGAATTGCAGATCTACGTCATTGGAGAGAGTTTCCATAGCAGCACTCACCTATACAAATTAATGTATAGATAGGTCCAGCCCAAAATCTTCCTCATCATCTTTCTCTTTCTCCCTCTCTTTTATTACTATCATCATCATCATCACCACCTTCTTCATCTCCTCCTCCTCCTTTTTCCTCCTCCTCCCTTTTCATCTCATCTTCTCTCTTTTTTTGAGTAAGGTAATGAGCACTGGACTCAAAGTCAAAAAAATTGGGTTCAAACCCATATTCTGACAGGTCTGAACTATATGACCCTGGGCAAAACACTTCCCTCTCTGAACCTGTTTCCTACTTGTGAAAAAAGAATGATGATAATTCCACTACCTGCTTCATGCAGTTTTTGTGAGAAAAGAGCCTTGTCATTCTGATGTTCCATATGAATATGTTATTATTATTATCAGCAGTAGTAGTAGTATGTTCATTGTCTAAGGGAGGGACTTCAGCAGTTCCTTCCAGTCTTGCCTGGGAATGGAGGGTAATTACCTTAGTCATCTATCTTGTCAGTCAAAATCAAGATAAGTAAAAATATGGACATGGCCCTTTGTGGAAGTAGAAGATGGATGGGAAAGTAAGTGAATTCTTTTTTCTGGGAATGGAAAGTCTGTCTCCATCATTTCCAAGGAATATAAAAAATATCCAAGGCCTGCTCTGTCCTAGCGTAGAACCTCAAAGTAGGAGAAAAGCCCTTGTAAATGTCACACCGACTCAAATGCTCCCTTCAACACCTTGGTTCATTCACTCCCTCTTTCAAAGGCTGGCTCTCACTCCTATGGCCAGCCATGGATTTTACTTCTAAAATGGTTTCTCCACGCCTTGCTTCTGGCAGGACAATTTGTTCCATTTCTTCCAATTAACAAGTCCCTTAACCACACCGAGATGCCTGTGCAGCCCAGCCTCTTGAAAGGACACGCATTTCCAAGAAGCATGGTCCCTGTGAGCTGAGAGCTCCCTGGCACAGTATAACTCACACTTCCCATGCCTTCACTGTGGGATCCAGTCCTCATGCAGGCAAGCCTCCCAGCCCAGGCTGTGTAAAAACTGCAGAGACTGGCATTAAGCTGGCAAAGTGGCTTCAATTAACTCCCCACACACATGTCCCCAGCTGCAGGGACAGAGGACGGTGATCAAATACAGCAAGCACATCCCTCCCTACTCCTTGCTTCAACCACACTTTACTGCAGGCTCTGCACATTAAAGAAAAGGAGTCTGTTATTCACATAGAGAGAAGGGAGGAGAGGGAGAAACAGCATGAGACGAAATGCATTTTGAAAATCATTTGTTTATTTAAATATTATGCTTCTGAAAATACCAGAATGCAAGACATGGACATTAGTTACAATGATAGAGAGGGAAGTGAACAAAACAAAACAAAGCACACACATAACAACAGCAGCATCAACAACAAACTAAGAAAATAATACGGGCCATCTTAAAAAAATCTGCATTTCTAAAATACGTGTATCTCACCCTCAGAATCAGATTATTGTTTAAAGGCTCCTTGAAAGCACCTTCTTCTGGCCTCTTTCTCTATAAAGCAGCCTCTCCTTTAACTCCCTTTAGGGAACTTCTTATAAATGAGGATCTGTATCTCTAGGGATTTCTCTAGTTAGAAAAGTGTTTTATTAAAAAGTATATGTTTGCAACAGAATGCTGAGCAATATAATTAGCTGGTTGCTTTGGTTTTATTTTAAGAGACTGTATAGCCAAATTCTAATTAAACATATTCTCAGGATGTTTGAAACGGGACAGAGCTACTGAAATGGGTAGTGAAATGAAAGCAGTGAAGGCACCAGAAGTGGGAGCCAGCTAGTCAGCTCTAGGGGCACAGCCCGCTTTGAATCACTCTGATTCATTTCTGTTCTTGGCTCTATTCCCCCACTTTAGAGAGGTGCGTGTTTGGTAGAGAATCGTTGGACATTCTGAGAGTCCCCTCATTAGGGCAGCTGATTGAATTCTCACCCTGGAGCAAAGAAGTATAGCAAGAAAGCTGCCCAGTATTCTAGTCTCCTCTTCTCCCCAAAATAAACCCATGGGGTGACTTTGGACAAGTCCCATCCTCTGTCTAGAGTTCTTTTCCTCCATATGTCAAATAAGGGGGTTGGATGAAGGGGTCTCTGGTTGCCATCTCTGATTTGGTGAATCCAAATTGCCTTTTCTCTAGTATGCTGCTTAAATGATGTCTGCACTTCAAGTCAAGAAACTGAAACTATGGGATTTTAGTAACAGAAACTGTCCCCTATGCCCTCTTGATGCCTGACCCCTTCCAGAAACTTTCACTCATTTGACTAGTTGATCATGTGTTCCTTACAAGTTGAAAGGAAGAAAACGACAGATTATACCTGTGTTCTAACAGCCCTATCTAACTGTTCCTGTCACCCCAGAAAGCTGCCCAGGCTCCTGTATCTGACTAAAAATGGCATTTCTCACTTGATGTACAGGTCTGGCTACATAATCCCAAAATAACGCTGTTATTTCTCCTACTCCATATTTAATCCTGACTTACTTCCAAGATAACTTGAGGTGCAGTTTATATACAATAACATCTCACTTATCCAGAAGTTCCTTACCTGACAGCCTTCCCTGTCTAGAACACAGGTGAGAAGTAGGAAAAGAATAAAGAAAATAGACATCACAGTCCAATGAAGCGCCTGCATGTTACACACAGGCCTTACTCTGAATGTATTTACTCTTACTTAAGTCACAGTTCTGTCAAGCCTGTTTACCTGGTCTCTTAGTCTCTAGCCACATTTGAAACAACATATGGGGTGGAGGAGGGAAGACTTTATATAGGCAGGCTCACTGACTGCCAAGGAGGTAATAGCCAAGACATAACAGTAAAGGAGGTGGAGACAGAATAACAAAGCTTCTAAGTCTGGGGTTACCATTTTACAAAGGACCTGCCAACCTCTCACTTCTCCTAACTTTTGAGGACTTCAGGTTGTTACAGCACAGAAGAAGAATGGATGTCCTTAAGGAGGATCCTGAGTCATCTAGAAGAGGTTCAGTTATGTTGAGGAGCCTCTGTTTAAGAAGGCAGGAGAATGTGTCAGAGAGTTTGGAGAGATTTCTTTCACTTGGGGAAGTCTAGAATTCTAACATGCCCACAAAATGGTTAAAATCTTAATGATAAAATAAACTCGTGCTGCTTAAATTGGTAAAGTTTAATTATCTCAAATAACTGCTTCTGTTGGAGCAGCTGATCTTAGTGAATATCTGAGGAATATCCACAACATATATTATATGTGTTTATATACACATATCTACATACATGTCCATGTATGTATATGTCTACATACAAATATACATGCATATACATATATATATATACATACACACATACCTCCTTAAAGAGCCTAGAGTTTGAATGGGACTTACCCTGAGAGCTGCACAATTATGGAACAGCAGCATCCTCTGAACAAAATGACCTTTTCATCAAGTTACAAAACATTAAAGGTTAAAGAATGTTTGAAAGGAAGTTAATACTTTTAAAACATTA